CTCCTCACTATCTTAATAGTTTTGCCAAGTTGATTTTCAACCTCAAGTTTATATTGCCTAAAAGCTTCTACGGCTTTGTCTTTACTTCTCAATAAGTAAACATAGCAATATCGAGTGCAATCATTAATAAAAGTAATAAAGTACTTCTTACCTCCTCGAGTTTGAATAAATTTTAAATCATAGATATCTGTGTGAATTAAACTTAGAGGTTCAGTACTTCTTTCAACTTTATTAAATGGTGCCTTTGTGAGTTTTGCCTTAACACAAATCTCACATTTATGATTAGGATCAAATTCTAAATTTGGTAAACATTCTAAAGCAGCAAATCTACGCAAAGAGTGAAAATTAACATATCCTAATCTACTATGCCATAAAAAAGAAGACTCAGCAATATAAACAGAAGAAGTGTTCTTATTATTAAAAGCTAAATTAGGTACAACAATTATTACATTGAGCTTAAAAAGCCATCACTCATGTAACCTCGCCCCACATACATTCCACTCTTGGAGAGTACAACTTTATCAGATTCAAAGACTAATTTAAACCCATTCTTGATCAACAATGACCCAGAAATCAAATTCTTGCGAATCTCTGGCACATGGAGTACATTGTTAAGAGTGAGTTTTTTTCCTGAGGTCATTTTCAACACAATCTTTCCTTGTCCTTCTACAGTTGAGGTGGAGGAGTTTCCCATAAAAAGTTGTTCTCCACTTTCCACCACTTTGTAGGTTATGAACATCTTCTGATCTGCACAGATATTGCGGGTTGCTCTAGTATTCACCCACAATTCCTTGGGATTGCCACCAAATTTACTTCAGAGACAACTGTAACAAGATTGATGTCAGCCACTCCATCGGAAAGATAAAAATCCTCAGCTATGTTGGCTTGTGTTGGTTTTTTTCTTAAACTCCCTCCGTCCTTGCGAACGTGACAATCCTTAGCGTGATGCCCATCTTTGCCGCACACAAAACATTTGCCTTTGAACCTCTTGTTGAACCCGTTGTTGATCTCTTTGTTGATCTTACTAGTGGATCCTTGTTTAGGATCATTGCCATCATACTTCCGCTTCTTGTTGTTGAACTTTGACCCTTGTCCATGTTCCACAACATTTGCTTTAGCCTGCATGACATGGTTTCCTGACTTCTTGTTGAAACCTCGGTTGTCCTCCTCAATTCGGAGCCGCACTATCAATTCCTCAAATTCATCTCCTTGCGCTTACGCTTCAGATAATTCTTGAATTCTTTTCAAGATGGTGGCAATTTTTCAATGATTGCCACTACTTGGAAAGATTTACTGAGAACCATCCATTCCGCATGTGTGTCATGGAGAATTAATTGGAGATCTTGAACTGGGTTAATAATCGTTTTGGAATCTATCATTTTAAAATCCAGAAAACGGCCGACAACAAATTTCTTTGTACCGGCGTCCTCTGTCTTATACTTATGATCCAGAGATTCCCACAGTTCTTTAGCTGTGTCTTTCACACTATACACATTATACAGTGTATTGTCCAACCCATTGAAGATATAGTTTCGACACAGAAAATCACCATGTTTCCATGCATCGACTGCGACAACCACTTGCCGGTCAGTTTCTTCCTTGTTCAGTGCCGGTGCCTTTTTACGAGTGAAGCGAGCCAAATTCAATGTGGTAAGATAAAACATCATCTGTTGTTGCCATCTTTTAAAATCATTACCATTGAATTTTTCTAGCTTCTTCTCATAATTTATCAGTACTGCCGAAGTCATCACTAGTACAACAGGTGTAGGGGTTTGAGTAATAACAGTCTCAGTACTGTTAATTTTAGTTGTCATAATTCTGACGAAATAAAAATAATACACTAATCACAAAATTATACAAAAAATCAATTTACACACAAAATAAACAGAATAATATTTTGTAACAAAATTTCAATAATAAATAGTATATTACTACTATGTTATCAAAGAAATCGTTAAACAGTACATTACTACTATTTAAGAAATTAAACAGTATATTACTACTATTTAATTTCCCGAAACAAAATATTTGTCTGTAGAAAATAAAAATAAGAATCTACTTTAAGATTGTTAGAAACCCACGAAGGTGTATGTGTGTAAATTATATGTATAAATTAGACAAACAATAAAATAAAATAATTCAGAAAATAATTATATAAATTATTTTCAGAATTAAAACTTACTGAAAATAATGTCGAGGCTTGTGTTGGACACAATCTCCTTAAAGTAGATTTCGCCCTCGCTCTGGTGCATCGAGTTTTATCGGCGTCTACTTCCTAGGATGCAACGACTAACACTTAAATTTGCAGCACTACAAATTTAAGCCTGGCGAACCAACTTTGTTGTAACTCTTTCTTTTTCTTCCTAAAATATAAATGCATAAATTGATGCAAGAGCACAGGAAAAGAAGGACAAAAATATGAGAGAAAAATTGAGTGAAATGAATTGTAAGAAGCATGCTTTATATAGACAGAAAGGTGGCTGTTCCGAACAGGTGCCAACAGATAGGCAACTGTTTGGACAAATAGACAATCTGTTTGGACAGATTCGGTTGGAATACAACAGGTAGAAACCTGTTTGAACTAGTTCGGATGGTATGGACCTGTAAGGGCCTTGTTTGGGTAAAGAAAAATTTTGGACCAAATTTATTTTGAATTTTGAAACCGAAATTAAAAAATAAATTACAAATGTTTTTTGCCCAAAAAGATAAGTATTGGGTCGGACAAGCCCAATTCAACCTCACACCACGCACCCATGCCCAGCTCGGCTGATCGGACGGACGGCGGCGTGTGGTTTTAATTTTGGGTCCAATGGGTCGCGCCCACTACACCCATAATCTCACCCTTCCACAAACTTGGGTATCTCTTGGGGCCTATACCAAATATCCAATGCTAAGGTTTATAAACCCAAACAATTCCTCAAGCCTTTCTAATGTGGGACAAGCACATTTCACAAATGTGCAGTAAACCCACTAAAATACATTTCCACAAATCCGAAAACGCGCGTTGAATTCTCATTCATCCGGAAATGGTTTTGAGCAACCAAATATATGAATTTATTTACTACGCGGCATTAAACATGAATCCAATTAGAAATGTTAAAAATAACGCTTGGATCCCACCTTAATTAATGCTCAAAGTTAGTAAAAAACAAGGATTTTTCAAAACCATTTTCCAACAATTTTTAATTCACTAATATATGTGCTATTGTTTGATTATTAATCTTTCTTACTTATGGGGACAAATTACATTAATAATCCCTATAATTTAGGATTTATATCATTTTGATCATTAACTTTTTAATTGTGACACATTTGATCTTAAATTTTGAATTTTGTTCCAAATAAGGGCAATTGAAGATACCATTGTTTAATTTCAAAAGCAAAATCTTTAATTTGAGAAAATATAAACTAATTTGACAAAAATAAATGTCAAAAAAATATTTTTGAATTTTTAAAAATTATTTCTACAAACTAAAGATAAAATTATGTAAAATTGATAACTTTTTTAAGCATTTATTTATTTTACCAAATTATTTTTTATTATGTGTTTGGATGATGATCATGTAATGGGTGATTATTTTTATTTTCATTAAATTAGTTTCTATTTTTTCAAAAGTCAAATATGGCGACAACTTTGATATCATTATTAAACCAATCAATTAAATCACAAAATCTGAAATTAAAAACATTTTATGTATTAAATATATCGATCACACATTAAAATCCTAACAATCACCCATTACTTGATCATTATCCAAACACATACTACTAGAAATTAGGGTAAGTTACACTTACACCCCATGCGAATTGGGTTTAATACAAATCATCTCCTGACGTTTGGAAAATTACACGGACCCCTTATCATTGTAATTATTTAGACGGAATTAACGTTGGTATCAAAAAAATATTAAATTCATACATTTTCTCTTTTCTTATTTTGCTTTGCTTCTTCTATTTTTTTTTCCCTTTCCTTTCCTTTCCTCTATTTTTTTTTTTCAATGTAATTTCTTATATTTTTCTACCAGGAGTTGTTGCCTTTTATATAAGTAAAGGGTTTGTAAAATGAGACTATCAACCATAGGGGAGAGAATGTAATTTCTATAACGTCAGGGGGTGGTATGTAATCGGACTAAACCTCAGGGGGTGTCAGTGTAATTTACCCTAAAAATTAATTTGGTAAAACAAAAAATAAATATCTAAAAGATTTATCAATCTTACATAATTTTATCTTTGGTAAGTAGAAATAATTTTTAAAATTTTTTTTGTTATTTATTTTTGTCAAATTAGTTTATATTTTATCAAATTGACGATTTTGTCCTTAAAATTAAATAATTGTATTTTTAATTATCCTTATTTGGAACAAGATTCAAAATTTAAGGTCAAATATATTACAATTAAAAAGTTAAGAATTAAAATAATATAGTCTCAAACTATGGGATAGTATAATTCGCCCTACTTATTGGTGATATATATTCCACTAGCACGAATTATATGATTTATTTTGTTTTTTTTCATGTAGATTATATATAAGATACTAGAATTTAAATAATTGAAATATAAATAAAGATTGAAAATCTCTTCCCACTATCCAAACACAATCTAAGGCCTTATTTGGTAATATCATTTTTTATTTTTTGGTAAAGATAAAAATTTGGTAAAGATTTAAATAAAGATTTTTTATTTTTTTACTTTTTGGTAAAGATTTAAAAAACTAATAATCTATTCCAAAAAATAAAAATATAATTTTTTTTTTAATTTTTTACACATCTTTTTATAAAAATATAAAAATTCATTCTAAACATATTAATTTTTTTACATTATATTTTATCTAAAAAGTCAAAAAAATATTAAAAAATTCTGGTCCCAAATGAGTCTTAAATATCTCTCAAAACAAATGTGTTTTAGGAAGAAAAAAAAAAGGAAAATGAAAACAGTTACCATAAGAAAATATATATATACATATATATATATTTGTGAATCATTTCGGTTTGATTCTCCATCATTTTCCGAAAAAGAAACCAAACATACATAGGGTTAGGGTTTGGTTTGGTATCAATCACTTCCACACTATAAAGGGCTTCCGTCTTTTCAGTCTGTCTGTCTTCTTTCTCGCTCCCGTAGAAAATTGCACAGCCGAAGCTACAGAGAGAGAGAGAGAGAGAGCGAGCTAATCAGCGAAAATGGAGCAGACTTTTATCATGATCAAACCCGATGGCGTCCAGCGAGGCTTGGTCCGTCTCTCTTTCTATATATTTGTGCTTTATACTTATCTTCGTTCATTCACATATAGGGAATTTACCGTAATTTCGCTTCATGTATGTTGAAATTTTTTAGAAACCCTGTAATCTGTGAGTAAACAGACCAAGTTTCGCATTTGTCAGTTTAATTTTGCTGAAATCTATAGGGAATTTGTTGGCAAAAAATTGATCTTGCCTTACTATTAACTCTGCAAATCTATATATATATATATATAGTTGTGTCACTTCAGCCAAAATTTATGTATTCTTTTTGTAAAATTTATGTGATAGTCCGTTTGGACTGAGTGATTTGGTGAGAAAGTATAAGAAATGAAGAGAAAGAGAATGAGAAATGTGGTTTACAGGCATGGTTATCAGAATCCCGATTCGGATCTTACGATCCTACGATCTTACGATCTATTTGAGTACAATCGATCCGGATCGTGTAAAAAACTCCTTATAGGTAGGATCTTTCGATCCTGGTAGTGAGATCTTATAGGATCGCGGAATCTCGATCCGTATCCGATCCTATCCGATCCAATTTACAAGCCTTGTTTTGTATTGTATGACATATTTTATTATAAATTTTATGTTTGTTGTCTAAATACCAATTTATGTGGTCAAAATAAAATAATAAAAATTAAGTAGTATTGAATCAAATAGACTAAGAAAAACAAACTAGGAAACAAACATTCAAATATTGCGGTAATTTAAAAAAAATTAAATAATCGAAAAAACAAACTTAGCTTTAGCGGAGTCTCAGGAGGGTAAGATGATTGCAAATTTATCTCAATTTTTGGAGAGATTATTTTTGTGACTTGAATCTGCTCCACCAGGGATGCTAACTACAAACCTTATCATTCGGTTAAATTATTCTTTTGAGTTCTTAATTTATTTTCATATCAACTTTGTTAAATATTTTTTTTTCACTTTTTATGCATTATTGTAGATTGTAAAGTATTTTGTTGTAGAATCCTTCTTCTTCTTCATCTTCTTTTTTGATGAAATACAATACTTTTACCATCGAGTTTTCTATTGTATAATATTATATGTACATTTTACATGAAGTATTATATTTTTCACAATATCTTTATTTCTTTTTAATAGAATATAAGCTCATTTTGTGTATGCTTTATAAGAAATATTTATTTAAATTAAATTATTATGTAATCTGTCTTTTTTAGTAGGATCTTACGATCCTCGATCCGATTCTACAATCCGATCCTATAAACACCTTCAACGATCCAACGTAGGATCCCGATTTTAACAACCTTGTTTACAGGTTTTATTTCTCACAAAAGTGGAACTGTTTGGTTGTGTAATACCAAGATTTTCGTTAAAATACAATGGAAGAAAATTTTCTCACATATATGCCTATATCACATACCTTGCTTTCTTACTTATTCAAACATGATTAGAGTACAATCATTTTTTTTTTCTCACTTAGCGATCCAAACAGAGTGTGAGGTGTTTGCTTTGGTAGAAAATGGAGATATGACTGACACTTGAGTCTCTCCTTTCAGGTTGGTGAGATTATTTGCCGATTTGAGAAGAAGGGTTTCTCGTTGAAAGGTATTATAAGTTTGTAGTTCTTTACTTATGCTCTGCTTTTACAATTGTGTTCGTGTCTGTCTGCAGACGTGTTTGTGTGTAATTTAGGTGTGCAATTCGGTCGGGTTCAGGCAGATTGAGAAGTTGTCCAAATTCAACTCGAGTTATGCTAAGAGTTATCAAGTCCGACTTGCAACCCAACCCAAGTTAGGCATGAGTTGCCTGAATTGCACATAAAGTCAAGTTTATATATATATATATTTATTTATTTATACAATTCGAGTTTCGGGTTGTTTTGTATCTTTGTTCAGGTCCGTCCAAATTTAATTCGAATTTTTAGTCCAAGCTCGCACTAAATTCAAAAATATGTTGCCCAAGTCTTAAAAAATTCATGCTTAACTCGAGTTACTCCCGCCCAAGTTGCACCCCTAGTGTAAATTGGGTGTGTATAATTTTAATTTTAAGGGGCGTTTGCACGTAAGTCCTAATTTATAAATTTATACTCCATTAACTCCTAGCTAAGATTTTTTGGACCTTCAAGTCTCATAAAATTTTTAGTAGTCGGAATTGCCCTTCAAACAATAATTGTTCAGCATTTATGATTATCTATAAAGGAACATGATGATTTGACATTTATTTTGATTTTCAAAATTTTAAAATATCAACTTTCAAATCGGAAAAAGGAAAAAAAAAAAATTGTGTAAATTTTTTTTTTTCCTGAAAAAATTGAAAAAACTGAATTATTTTTTTATGCAAAACTAAAAATTTGTGTCTATCAGTGTTATTAAAGGCGATAGGCGCACCAAGTTGCCAAGGTTTCTTGGGGCTTAGGCTCAAGGCGCAAGGTAAGGCGCAGGTTTCACCGAAGTGAGGCGTACTTTGTACAGAAAAAATGTATAATTTAATATAAATAAATAATTTAGTGTTCAACATGAACAAAATAAAATGTTAAACATTTATTGTTTTTTGGAGATTAGAATTAGGATTAATTTTTCTTCTATCATTGATTTGGAGTTGAATGTCCAATGTATTAGCATCCCTAATAATAGTAGGGATCTTCTGTAGCTGCACCATATTAAATCAATGGTTAGATTTTAAACAAAATCAATTAAAAACAACAATAAAAAAAAAAAAAAAAAAAACACCTCAAGACGCAAGCCTTGGGCCAATCAGACGCCTTATCACAGTCGTCTGACCTGGAGCACTATAAGGCACAAACCTTGGGCCTAAGCGTGCCTTATCGAAGTCGCCTGGCCTGGAACACTACAAGGCACAAACCCGAGAACCTGGATAGGACTTGGGCCTAGGCGCACGCCTAGACGCGCCTTTAATAACATTGGTTTCTATAAAGAAGCATGATGATGCAACATTGATGTGCAAAATTGAAAAAAATAAATAAATAAATAAAACTTTAAAAATGAAAAAACTGATAATGTTCCCAGTTTTAAAATTGGAAAAAACTGATAATGTTCTCTATTTTATTGGATAGTTAAATTAAACCAATAACTAGAAGAGCAAAAACATTTAATCCCATGCTCTGTTTTTTCTAATCAGTTAGTGAAACAATTATTTGGAAATTGATAATGTTCTTAGTTTTATAAAATGGGAAAAATTGATAATATTATCAGTTTTACTAAATAGGACTTATTGATTCAAAAAATCTTAGATACGACCTGAGCTACCATAACATTTGTAAATAGGACTTTTAGGTAATTAACTCTAATTTTAATTGCAATGTGCTCAAATTTTACATGTTAGGTTTGAAGCTTATGAATGTGGAGAGGTCTTTTGCCGAGAAGCACTATGAGGATTTGTCAGCAAAGCCATTCTTCAATGGCCTGGTTGAGTATATTGTCTCTGGTTCTGTGGTTGCCATGGTATGGGAAGGTAAAGATGTGGTTGCCACGGGACGGAAGATTATTGGTGCCACTAACCCATCAGAGTCGGCTCCTGGCACAATCCGTGGTGATTTTGCTGTTGAGATTGGCAGGTACGTTGCTGTGATCTAATCTACTGACTAAGTAACATTTGTTGTGTTTCTAATGGTGTTTGGCTTTCAATTGTTTGTTGTTCTTTGTTTAATAGGAAAATGGCAATATATAGGACTTAATATTGTCTTCTTTAATTTGTTTTTTTTTTTTTTTTTTTTTTGTTGAATTAGTTGAGGATTTTTTGATAGTCTACATTGAATTATGCAGTGCGATGCAGTTGGCTTTAATTATCATTTAAATATGCATATGATTCCCACGCCTAATAGTCAACTTTGAACTTGTCTGAATTTGGAAATTTGAACATTTGTATAATAGTAGATTTATCCTTTCTTGGTTGAAGTATTCTACTTTGCCACTGAAATTTTCACCTTTTTTTTTTTATAAATTTTTTAATATGATTGAAGTCATTTTATGAATCTGGATATAGTTTTTATTCTTTTGGAGCATGTTCATATCATCTTAGAAGCTGCATTGTCCATTGAACAGGATCAACTAAAATTTCAACTTTCAACCCAATTTGTTCACTTTTGTATGGGCCATATTGGTCATGAATGCATTCTAAGTTTTTTTTTTTTTTTTTTTTTTTTTTTTTTTTTTTTTTTTTTTTTTTGGTTAATGTATGCAATGGTATTTACCCGACCAGATATTGCTCATGCTGTTGGAGTTGTATACTTCATATGGTTTGCTTATTTGATACTTCCGGTGCTTGATCAGATTCATTGTTTTGGAGGTCTCAAAATCTTATATTTGTTTGTTTTTTTTCTCTCTCTTTTCTTTTCTTTTCCCTTAATTGCAGGAATGTCATTCATGGAAGTGATTCGGTTGAGAGTGCTAGGAAAGAGATTGCATTGTGGTTCCCTGATGGCACTGTAAACTGGCAGAGTAGCCTTCATCCATGGATCTATGAGTAAAATCCCCATCGTGCTTCGGTTGGTGGTGGAAAATTTGACCTGCAGTTTCTAAATTATTCTACTTTATGGTTGTAGTGTATATTGTGATTCAGTTGTTGATTTGAGTTTTAATAGACTTGGTGGTATGGTATGTTGCTAGCATTTGTGGAGGAACGTCAGCTTGTTTTCAGTTATTGCTAATTTTATATAGTAATTGGCATGAGTTGTGGTGATGATGATATCATATTTCTGTTGGTGTTAGTGACATCAAATAATAGTTTAGAGCTTTACATTGTGGCCTGCTTCCAGTCTGGATTCTGGGTTTTCTTTGGAAAGAAGGGTCCTTGGCTGAATTTTGTTGGGAAATTACAAATCAATGAAAAGTAGAGAAAATACATTAAAAAACGTGAATGTGCAAGAGTCCTCTGTAAAGTGTACTCACAATTTATGCTTATACTAGAGCAGAGATCCACTCATTTTTTATGTGTTTATAATTACGTTCTCTACATTTTACTGATGATTTGTGACTTCAATTTTATTTACTAGTTGACTTCTTCAATCAGGAGTAGTCAGATCTGATTCTGCCTAGATGTTGGATGCCTTTATAGAAGTACACTATACATGACCCCTGGATAAAATAATGTAAATATCTTTAATGGGCCTTATCAATGTACTTTTTTTTCTTCAAAAAAATATGTTTTTGTTATTAGTTTTGTGCATGAGGGAAGATCTTAAGTTCTATACAGGTCTTTCGGAAATTGACTACTCCTTTCGGTTTAAAATATTAGTCATTTATTTTATTTTTTATTGTATTAAAATATTAATCTATTTTCAAAAATTAATGAATAAAATAATATGATTTTTTTTATTTTATTTTGTCATTCTTTTAAATTTATAAACAATACAAAAAGTACAATTATGACAATTAATATTCTCTGAAAAATTACTTTCAAAAGGTAATTTTGAAAAATTAATTTTTTTTAAAAAGTAATAATTGTATTACCAAAAAATGTTAGATTTTTCAAAAGGGACAATTATTTTAGGACGGATGGAGTATTTTAATTGATTTTTTAATTTTTTTTAAAAAGATATATAAAAAGATAGAAATAAGAGTTACCTTTCTAGTAGTGATTTTTTTGACTATATTAGCTAACTCTCCAAATAGCCTCTGAGATTTGGAAAGGGTCTTGTAACTTGTGAGGAAGAACCAAGGTAGATATTTGAAAATTATCCTAAAATGATTGTGATATATAGATGTGTTTTCTTTAAATAATTAAAAACTTTTAAAAGGAGTCTAGTTTGTTTCAATGGCCATTTGGGGGATAAATTGACTGGCATATATAATCAATAATTCAAAGAAGAGCTGAATGGTAAACAGGACAGAAGTTTTGAGTAGGTAATTTAAACTCAAAACACAATCAATAATGGTTCAAGTAGATGATTTAATCATTCTTGTAATCTATTGTTGCAAAGAACCCTATTTCAAAAAATATGAGACTTAAATGTTAGCTTCATTTTATTGACTTCAATCATCCTTAAAGATTTAGGATCACACATATTACATTTTGTAGTAATACTATATTTACTAAATTTGATCTTGCTCGAATTGATCAAATTTGTGCATGATGGTCGTTCGGCTAGTCATTTGGGAGAATACCGGTTATCCGGATGGATGCCAGTTGACACATCGATTGACAAGAGTGACAACTCCAATTGACAAGGGAGACACAGGTCATCCATCCATATCATTCGGGCGGTGTTGGGCTCCCCCTATTTTGGTGGACCAATCATTTTTCTTACATTTTGGTCAATAATTTTACGTCAAACCACAACCTAAATTATGCTTTGTTAGATGTAAATTCTAATTAAAATTCACGCCTTGTTGATCCAACATAGCATGAAAATCAGTAAAAAATTTACATCTCATGGAGGTGTGATTTGAGAGATGCCTCTAGGCTTAATTTGAATGATCTGGTGACCAAGCTACTCATCCCAATGTCCACATTACCTCTCCATTGTATATCAAATAGAAAGAATTTGAAGCAAAACAAACAAGACAGGGTATGCTTAATAACAAAATTGTTCATAATAGAAATCATATATTCATATGCTTTACTTTAGTAGGTATAAAAATAATTAATTTATTAATTTTTTAACTTATTTAAGTTATATTATTTTTTTTATATGTATTTTCGTAATGAGTAACAAAAATTCAACATTTTTAACCCTTCATAAAGTCAAAAGTTTACAACGAATGAAATGATACTCACAGCTTCAGAAAAAAGCATTATGGACAAGTGGTTACACAGAATTCTCAATAATAAATTCAGATAGTACGAAAATCTCTTAGTTTGCAAGTAGACTTACTAATTTTAGAAAATCATTGGAGAATTTGCCCGTGTTAGATATGAACTGTGTTTGTCAATTCATGTCAGTGTGGTGTGGTTATATTTTTTTCCGCACAAAAATATTATAAATATATATATATTAATAATTAAATATTCAGATAAACTTATTATCGTTAAAAATCTCCTAACAGTAACTCAAGCTATCAATGTCCACTTGGACGCCTGCAGTTGAGAGAGAGAGAGAGAGAGAGTAATTGCATGGTATAAATAGAAGAGGAGAGGGAAATGATACGTATTCCATTTGTCATAATTAAAAAAATTTGAATTACTCCCATCTCAAAATATTAGTTTTTTTGAAAATTTATTTATTTTTTTTATAGTACAATTACTACATTTTAAAAGTATTAAAAATATTAATTGTCATAACTTATGAATAAATTTAAATTTTTTAATAGTATAATTATTACACTTCAAAAGTATTAAAAATATCAATTATTATAGTTAATAAATTCAAAACAATGACAAAATAAGAAATTCATGTTATTTTAGTCATTAAAATTTTAAAAATTGACTAATATTTTAAAATGATAAAAAATAGAATTAGGAGTGTTTTGGGAAGTTGGTAAAACATTGACTTTTTGACTTTTTTGACAAAAAGCTAGCTTCTTTTGGATAAAAAAGTTAATTTTTTTGGCTAAAAAAGTTAAAAAATCAAAAAATTAGCTTTTTTAGCATGCTGCCAAAATGAAGTAACTAATATTTTGAGACGGAGAAAATATAATCAAACATCAAGTATAACTAAACAATTATTAAATCATAATCAAAATGATATCATAATATCACAATATGTCATAATAAAAATACTAGAAGTCATAATCAAAGACACATGCTTATAGAATTTTTCTTATTTATGTACTATACAACAAGGGTAATGCTAGGGATATCAAATTTTCTACCAAACAAATGACCAAATGTCTCACATGGGTGTGGGGTCCGCAATTTTGTGGGCCCCACACCCATGTGAGATATTTGATCATTTATTTGGTAGAAAATTTGGAACCTCTAGCATTTTCCATACAAATTAACACGGTAACACAACATATGTTTTTTGATCCCCAGCCCCATCCATTTCCTGGACTTGATCCCCAACCCCATGCATTTTTGGGTCCATTTCCGGGACTTGATCCCCAACCCCAGCCCCAATTAGGACCGTGAGCCGACCCACTATCCCCCGTTCTCTCCCCACCAGACTCCACCTTTCTTCCACCGCCACCCGGGTTGGAGGCCCATGAAGGCCCAGATAGCAAGAAGAAAAGGATGAGAGTGAAATACAACATGTTGGGCTGCATTGTTATTTTGTTTGTGCTGCTGCTAGGCATAAGTCCTCTGAAGGCTGCAGTGTTATTTTGTTTGGGCTTTATTTTTTTAAGATAGATAAATCATGATTATTGTTCAAACTAAGAAAGAAATAAACAACTATATATGCAGTATATTGTTATTTTCTTAAGATAGATAAATTATGATTATTTGCCCAAACTAAGAAAGAAATAAAGACTATTAAAATTTTTTATATTGTTATTATATTAATTACAAATATGAAATAGATCAAGCTTAACAATCATAGCCAGTCCAATAATACACCACCAACCATAGCTCAAAACATAAAAACAATAATAATGTCATAAAAGATATCAAATTTTGTTATTTTTTTAAGATGGATAAATTATGATTATTGTTCAAATTAAGAAAGAAATAAACAACTATATATGCACTATATTGTTATTTTCTTAAGGTAGATAAATTATGATTGTTTGTCCAAACAAAGAAAGAAATAAAGAATATACCCCTCTATTGTAGTGTTACACAACTATTAAAAATGTCTATATTATTATTTTATTAATTACAAATATGAGGTAGACCAAGTTTAACAATCATAGCCAGTCTAATAATACACCACCAAGCATAGCCCAAACATGGAAAGAATAATAATGTCATAAAAGAAATCAAAATTTTTTTTTTTCATAAGAATTAAACTCACAACTTTATATTATAAAATGGTACTATACAATCATTACATTAAAAGTCTGAATTGATCTTGGTTATTATAAGAATTTTCTATTCTCGTATTTTTAACTTTATGTCCCAAAATATTAACAGTCATATATCTTATCTCAAATATTCAAAGTTATTAAATCAATATATAAAAATTTTAAAATTATTTTCAGACATGTACAAACGAATTACTCTCTTCATTTCAAATTATTTGTCTATTTTACACTTTAAGCGGGTCAATAGGTATGTGTTCTCATAAATAAAAAAAGAAAAAGAAAAAAGGATCTCATTTGTGTCTGTAGACATCATTAGTTTCTCTAGATAAAGTCTTTAAAATCATTAAAAAGAGAATAAGTTAAAAATTACACTTACTTCCTCTGAAGTTATTGACAATTACACGCCTCTCTTATAATTTCAATAATTACACTAACATCTCTTATATTTGAAACTATTATCAAGATTCTCCCACTGTTACCTTTTGTTAGGCTATTTAACATATTTTGCTAATGTCATGCTATATTAAAAATGATGAAAGTGCCCATTACCTTATGTATTCAAATGAAAAATTTTATTTACCTTCTTGAAGTTTTGCATATATATTATTAAACATCCATACGTATTTTAGCATTATTTAATAAAATTCTTAAATTTTATGCAATATTAAATAAAACCCTTAAATTGTCAAGACATTATTAAATTATTTAATGGAAAAAATTTAATTTTCATTTATAAAATACTTAAAAATAAACAATCTCTCTAAAATTAATATTAAATAATATCCTAATAATTTAATATAAGATTTATTCCACACTACATAAACAATATAAAATTTATCATTTTAAGT